TAATATTTGTATACTTGAGGTGTTCTTTTCTTGGGTTTGATTGCATTGCATAACATTTTACTAGTTTTCTTGAGTTTTTTTAGTCTCAATTAATTTTACTTTGACTCTTAGGATCCTAGGCATGTGGGTTGCAATTGCATTGTATTCCAAGATGCATGAGGAGACTAGATGATTCAAAAAAAAATTTCCTTATTATTTTTATAGTATCAAATCTACAACTCTACTACAAATTCATTGATACATTTTCATTATGTAAATGTTTTTTTTTATCAACAACATTTATTCTACAAGTTTGAATATGGATAATAACACAATAATAATATACATACATAACATACATGTACTGTTTGTTTATTTCTTGCTGTCAACTGTCCAAAATATAAATTAAAATACAGATAGGCAAAAAAAAGACATCGGAAACTCAAAGGAAGGGAGGGAACAATAAATAACAAATGAAAAATAGTTCCAAACGATAAACTCCAATTAAAGAAGGAAATAAAAAATATACATACTTTTAAACGATAAACAATTAGAATATATATTTTTGGTCGCCAAACAATTATAAGAATTAAGAAACAATGTGTACGTGCGTGTGGGTCAAAACAAATAAATAATAATTGTACGTGCGTGTGGGTCAAAAGAATCAACACCGTCTACTCTTAGTATAGCTAACAATGTCGGAACGTTGTCTCCTACTCGATAGAACACCTCTCTCGGCCTCCTCCTCTGCATTATATATACACTGTTTTTTGTGGTTGTTCCTCCACAGGGCTCACATTCTCTATACATCAACAAGGCTCACATTCTTTACACACTAAAAGATTATCTTACTTCTCTCTCTGTCTCTTGATATATATTTAAACTCTATCATTGAGCTACAAGTGTTGGTAAGTACTTGTTCTACTTGCTTTAGTGATCACCGAGTTTTAACGTTTAAGAATGTTATCAAGCAAAGTGAGCAGCGGATCACATGGAGAAGACTCATCGTACTTTCTTGGGTGGCAAGAATACGAGAAGAATCCCTTCCACGAAACCCTTAACCCTAATGGGATTGTTCAGATGGGTCTTGCTGAAAACCAGGTTTGTATCTATAACCACATGTCTACAACCATTTTTACACGTATAAAACTAAACTATTCTGTACATATTTACCGAGTTGCTTGGCTGACTACCTACTGATCAGTCGGATTCCTCCTTTGTGCAGCTTTCTTTTGACCTAATAGAGGCTTGGCTTGAAGAGCATCCAGAAGTCTTGGGTTTGAAGAAAAACGAAGAGTCGGTGTTTAGAAGATTAGCTCTATTCCAAGATTACCATGGCATGCCGGATTTCAAAAACGTAAGTAAACACAGATTTTTGATTTTTCGGTTTAAGACAAACATTAACCAAAGTAAAACTAAAATATTCATAAGACTTTCCAAAGTCGGTTTTTAGAGCAATAATATCCGTAGTTTTTTTTAGATAACTAAATTCCGTATACATTTTTTAGGTTGGGTTCAGAATGGGTTTTCGGATTTTTTTTAAAAAAGTTGGTTCATTTTTAGCGATATGAAATACATTATGGTTATGCATTGACTATTCCAATTCGTTTCCATATTGGTTTACTAGTCTAGATTGAACACCCAGGCTATATACTTCTCACTTGTTATGTTTTTATGCGACAGGCGTTGGCAAAATTCATGGCAAAAATCAGAGGGAACAAAATGAAATTTGATACGAGCAAGATGGTACTCACAGCTGGCTCAACCTCGGCTAATGAGACTGTAATGTTCTGCCTTGCAGATCCAGGAGATGCCTTTCTTATCCCTGCACCTTATTATCCGGGGTATGTATCGCTTTACATTAACCATTCAAATTTATTTGTGTTGATTACATGATATGCTAAAACAAATTATTGACTCTTGACTTGAAGGTTTGACAGAGATCTCAAATGGCGGACAGGAGTAGAGATTGTTCCTATTCGCTGTGTAAGCTCAAATGGGTACAAGATTACAGAGGTTGCATTAGAAGAGGCCTACGAAAGAGCTCACAAACTTAAATTAAACGTTAGAGGAGTACTCATAACGAACCCTTCAAACCCTCTTGGAACCTCTACCACCCGGGAAGAGCTCGATCTTCTCCTGACTTTCACTTCGAGCAAGAATATCCACATGGTGAGCGATGAGATCTACTCGGGCACAGTTTTTTACTCTCCCGAGTTCACTAGCATTCTAGAAGTTGCCAAAGACAAGAATATGGATTTGGATAAAAAAATTCATGTTGTTTACAGTTTGTCCAAGGATCTAGGCCTCCCAGGATTTCGTGTAGGTTTGATTTATTCAGACAATGAGGAAGTGGTCTCAGCCGCAACCAAAATGTCAAGCTTTGGACTCATTTCTTCCCAAACTCAGCATCTCTTAGCCAATCTACTGTCTGACGAAATATTCACGACCAATTACTTGGAAAAAAACAGGAAGAGGCTAAGAGAGAGAAGAGACAGACTGGTTATGGGTCTGAAGAAAGCGGGGATCGGTTGTTTGAAGAGCAACGCGGGTCTGTTCTGTTGGGTTGACTTAAGACACCTCTTGAATTCCAACACGTTTGAGTCCGAGCACTCGCTGTGGAAAAAGATTGTGTGTGAAGTTGGTATTAACATCTCTCCAGGCTCATCATGTCATTGCGATGAGCCTGGTTGGTTCAGAGTTTGTTTTGCCAATATGTCAGACCAAGCGCTTGATGTGGCTATGGAACGTGTCAAATTTTTTGTAGAGCCCATTGCGATGAGCACTTATGGTGGTAACCAAAAGAGAACCATGTGGGATTCAAGGAGAAGATCTTTGATCAATAAATGGGTCTCCAAGCTTTCCTCTGGAAATTATGAATCAGAACGTTAACGATTTTTCGAAACTTACTTTGTTTATTGGTTTTCATATTTCTAGTGTTTTTATAATGATTTTTCACTCCAATTATGGCGCAAGCTATTATGGAGTTGTTTTGTGCACAAAATAAAGAAAAAGTAGCTTTTTGGTGAGAGGGTTGTAGTGAAGGGTCATGTTTGTATTTTATTTATTTGTGTAGCCAAATTATATTCTTTTATTTATTCAAATTTATGTAACACCGAGAAATCGGAATAAAATTATTCTTTTATAATTATGATATAGAAAGAACTGTTGATTCATGTCCTGGTCGTATGGCAAAAGGAAAGTATTTTATTTCAACGAACCTCATTTATTCAA